TAGCCAGGGCGGGGAGGGGTGCCTGGCTGGCTCCCACGGGAAGGGCAGTCCCCTCCCCCCATCCATGCTGTTCAAAATAAACACGGAGTAGTCCTGTGGCAGCTAGCAGCTCATCTGAAGAAGTGGGCTTTGCCCAGGAAAGCTCAGGCTACTATTTGTGTTGGTCTGTAAGGTGCCCCAGGACGACTCCTTGGCTGTGTCTAGACTGGCATGATTTTCCGGAAATGCGTTTAACGGAAAAGTTTTCCGTTAAAAGCATTTTCGGAAAATCATGCCAGTCTAGATTGGCACGGACGCTTTTCCGCAAAAGCACTTTTTGCGGAAAAGCGTCCATGCCAATCTAGACGCGCTTTTCCGCAAAAAAGCCCCGATCGCTATTTTTGCGATCGGGGCTTTTTTTGCGGAAAACAAATCTGAGCTGTCTACACTGGACCTTTTGCCCGAACGGGAGCAGCATAGTATTTCTGCAAGAACACTGACAATCTTACATGAGATCGTCAGTGCTTTTGCAGAATTCAAGCGGCCAGTGTAGACAGCTGGCAAGTTTTTCCGCAAAAGCAGCTGATTTTGCGGAAAAACTGGCCAGTCTAGACACAGCCCTTGTTTTTAAAGTTACAGCCTAACAGAGTGGTTCAAAATAAAGGCTTGCAAAGAGGAAAGGAAGCCCCCTCCCCCAGTACAACCCACCCTTTCTGCTTACAGGTGAAAGGAGAAACACTAGCAAACTGCCCCTTGCATTGTCCCTCATCTCCCCCAGCACTGGGCCCTGATGCAGGGAGCAAAGTAACCCGTCACAGTCACCCCTGGCCTAGATCGTTTCCCAGCTCTCTAAAGTCTCAAGCAATGGCCAGAAACCAAAGGGCGGGATTCTGAACCCATCTCTTCTCTCCATTGCAGGACGTGCCACTAACCTGTGCCACACCCTGCCCGTGTGCCTGGTTACGGTAAGAGTAAGTGTCATCCTTAATGGGTGATGCTTGCAGGATAACAGTTAACCATTATCCCGGAGCAGCCTGACGCGGGCGGAGAGTCAGCAGCCTCATGCGGAGATGGAAGCAGCCCCGTTGGAGCAGCCCCGGCCACGTCTCGCTCTGCCCGCCCCAGTTTAATCAGTTAGGGTATGTCTACACTACCCCGCTAGTTCGAACTAGCGGGGGTAATGTAGTCATCCACAATTGCAAATGAAGCCCGGGATTTGAATTTCCCGGGCTTCATTTGCGTGAAGCCGGCCGGCGCCATTTTTAAATGCCGGCTAGTTCGAACCCCCTGCCGCGCGGCTACACGCGGCACGGAGTAGCTAGTTCGGATTAGGCTTCCTAATCCGAACTAGCTGTACTCCTCATTCCACGAGGAGTACAGCTAGTTCGGATTAGAAGCCTAATCCGAACTAGCTACTCCGTGCCGTAACGGGGTTCAAACTAGCCGGCATTTAAAAATGGCGCCAGCTGGCTTCATGCAAATGAAGCCCGGGAAATTCAAATCCCGGGCTTCATTTGCAATTGCGGATGACTAGTGTAGTGTAGTGTAGACATACCCGTAATCAGCTAAACTTAACATTTAACGGGTTAACTAATGAAACAGGATTTTACACCCCTCCATCAGCGGCTTATGGTGCTCAGAGAAAGGTAGAAGAATGTTGCATTCGAGACTCTGTAGACCCATGTGCCTGGCTGGAAGAAGTGACGGAAGGCAGATAAAGGGCCCAGCACTCCTATGGGATGAAAGATGCTCCCGCAGCTTTCACTTTAATGATCACCGCTGATCAGGTAAGGGACGAGTGAGCTCCGCCCCCAGGCCTGGAAGGGACTAGAACACAGAATCACGGCAGGCCGCACTGTCCGGCACCTGTCTCTCCAGAACTCCTGCTTTGAGGGGTTTACTCGCTCAGCCACCTGGGGCAGGAGCCATGTAAGGCTTGGTCAGCTTGGAAAAGGCAGATGTGTAACTCCTTAGGAGGTTTCTGCCTGGGGGCCTGTTGCTTGGTTCCACATATGTGCAGTGCCCAGCATGGGGAGGGATGTGGGGAGGGTTCTCCCAGCAATGAAGATTTCTGTCACTGAAACATGGGTCATAGGTGTTTGCATGATAGGAACAGGGTGCGTGCCACCGCATGGCCGGGTTAACTTGTGAGCACCAGCTCTGGGAGGCTCCCAGTCACGGCTGTAGACTCTTCAGGATACAATCCACTCTCACTTCTCAAGAGACACACACGGGCTGCGTCTAGACTGGCAAGTTTTTCCGCAAAAGCAGGTGCTTTTGCGGAAAAACTTGCCAGCTGTCTACACTGACCGCTTGAATTTCCGCAAGAACACTGACGATCTCATGTAAGATTGTCAGTGTTCTTGTGGAAATGCTATGCTGCTCCCATTTGGGCAAAAGCCCTCTTACGCGAAAATAGCGATCGGGGCTTTCTTGCGCAAAACCGCGTCTAGATTGGCACGGACGCTTTTCCGCAAAAAGTGCTTTTGCGCAAAAGCGTCCGTGCCAATCTAGACGCTCTTTTCCACAAATGCTTTTAACGGAAAAACTTTTCCGTTAAAAGCATTTGCGGAAAATCACGCCAGTCTAGAGGTAGCCACGTTGTCCTGTGCTACAGCATTCCAAGGCTTCCGCTGATTTCAGCAGGGGTTGGATTGGGCCCTCGTAAAAGACTGAACATTCTCCCCGTTTAGGGCCCCCATA